CGCCGCCCCCTGGGCTGGGGAGCGCGCCGGTCCCGCCGAGGGACCCCCGGGGTCGCCCCCGGGCTGCTGCCGCTGCCGCGAGCTGGGCCCCGACCGGAAGGAGGGCGACGCGCTGCTGCCCCCAGGCGGGGGGATGGAGCTGCCGCACGCCATCGCGCTCATGGGTAAGAGGGCGCCCCGCTGGCCGGGCGTGGGGCCGGGACCCGGACGGCAAGTCGCCAGGCCGCCACGCCTGTGGGGCTGCAGGACTAGTAGAACCCCAGTTAACACCAAGTGTTTGTAGGAGCGGACTGAACCCCACGCAGCTTCACTCTCGCAGGCCCAGCCTCCCCCATCGCTCCATTTCTGGACCATTGGGTCCCAGACACTCATCCTTCAGCAGTTACCTCTGAGTGAGCACGCGGCTGGGGGGCGCGGGAGAGTTTGAGATAAGTTGGGGGGAAGGAAGAATGAGCCATAAAAAGATGCCAAGGATCCTGGAGGGAGTGGTGGGTGAACTTGGGGCATAGGAAAGCTTCCTGGGGCTGGGTGTGAAAGGTGAGTAGGAGTTGGGCGTGGGCCAGGGGCCTTCTAGGCCGAAGGCAGGCAGAAACCAGGAACCGAGGCTTGCCCAGCAGGCAGTCTGCCAACAGCTCAGCCCTAGGAGAGGCCGGCCAGGCCAGCTGGACCGCACCAAGCCCTAGGGCCCTCATCGCACAGGGGTTCTTAGACACGGGTGGGGCACTTTGGGCGCTCAGGGCTTCAGCAGAGTGTGCTGGGGGCATGCTTTTCTGCCTGGCTGGTGTGCACTTTGCAGCTTAAAATGGCACATTTATTCTCTGGTGGCTCTGGAGGGCAGACTTTTGAGAAGGGTTTGGGTTAAAATCAAGGGCTACCTTCCTTTCTGAAAGTTCCCAGGGAGATTCCATTTCGTTGCCAGCTTGTAGAAGCCACTGGGCTCCGGGGCTCATGGCCAGCCCCCTTCCTCCATCTTCAGGGTCCAGACTGAGCCCTCGTGCTGCGGTGTCTGACATCTCTCACAGTGACATTGGACCCACCAGATAATCCACAATCTTCTGACCCTGACCCTGACCCTGACCCTGACCCTGATAAGCAACCTTAATCCCCCTTTGCCTTGCGATCTACAGTCCCCAGGGATGAGGGTGGGGACAGTTTTGTTGGGCTCTGCCTGTCTGCCGCAATGGCTCTGGAGGTTTTCATCCGTCTTCAGTTGATCTCAAAGGGTGGGTTGGGTGAATGGGGAGTTGAGGCAGGTGAGGAAGAGTAGAGCTGGGGGGGTGGTAGGGGTGGGCAGGAACCCCTGCAGGGTGACTGCTGAGGCGTGCCACTTGGGTCTGGCTGGCTGGGACTGGTTTCCCTGGCAGGGCTGAGCCACGGTCTGAGGGATGCTGCTTGACCTCTGCCACGTGGCCCCTAACTGTGGTGACCTTACCGCCTAGGACCAGGCCAGGCTAGGTGCTGCCTACCTCAAGGCACAAGAAGGCCAGCTGAGGCCCAGGTGCCACGACTTGTCCACGTGGTCACATCGCCACTGGACTCCTTCATGTTCCTCCTTGGAACCTGAGGGCGGGAGCCACTGTGAAGAAGGTGGGGTGTCCCTTTCTCTCCTCCTTCCCTTGTTTGGGCCAGAGCCCCCTTGAGCTGTCCAGCGAGGGCTGAGTCAGGGGTACTCCGTCCGCCGAGTTGGAAGGTGTATGTTTCCTGTGGCTGCTGTAACAGGCCCACAAAGTCGGTTGCTAAAACAACACGAATTCATTCTCTCACAGCGCGGAGGCCTGAAGTGCCGAGTCAAGGTGCCAGCAGGCTCGTGCCCCCTCCAGAGCCGCTAGAGAAGACCTCTTCTTCCTGGTCTGAGCCAGCTTCCGGCTCCTTCCGGGCTTTCCCACCTCGCTTGTCCGTGCCTCTTCCTTCTGTATCTGTCTCTCTGGGTCACACTGGGTGAGGGCCCACCCCACCCTGTTGTAACGGATCACGTCTGCAGATGGACGTTTCCAGATGAAGTCACGTCCCGAGGGGCCGGGAGGGATGTGTGCTTGCTTCTGTTCAGTCTGGTCCCCAAGGGTGGTCACAGCGTGGAAAGGAAAGGTGGGGCGGGCAGATGTCACAGGGTGTAGCATCAGGTGGTCGGGGTCAAAGAGGACATTGGGGGAGCGAGAGGGGGCAGAGGGGAGGTGCTGAGGCGGGAGAGAGGCGTTCCTTTCATGGCGGGGAAGGAGTCTGAGGACTTCGTGCCCTCTGATTATGGAAGAGCTGGAACGCGTCCATCTTTCTCCCATGGGTGAAATCCTAACCTAAATTGGATGGTGTATGCTGTGTCTCGGCCTAGGGGCTGGGTGCTGAGGTGGGCGTGATGCCCGGAGTGATGGCAGGTGGTTCTGTGGTGGATGTGGTTCCAAGGCCTGTGTGGTGTCTGGTGTGACTTCCGTGTGCTTCTGAGGTGGCTGCAGTGCCTGGGGTGACCTCTGTGTGGTTCTGACGTGTGACTCTGAGGTGGGCGCGGTACCCGGTGTGGCCCCAGTGTGTGTGGTTCCACGGTGGGCCCTTCGCCTGCTGCGACGTCACTGTGGTTCTGACGGCTGCAGTTGGGTGGTCTCCTCACGTGCATCTCTCTGTGCCCCTAGGGTTACCTATGTACCTGCGGTCCCTCCGCTGGGCCCTGGTCATCATGGCCCTCCTCCTGGCAGTGTCCACAGTCACCATTGTGGCCCTGGCCTCTAGAGCAGGTATGGTCCCCTCTCCCCCTGCCCCTGTCAGGGCCGTCTTCTGGCTCTTCCAGCACCTGGGGGAGAATTAGAAGCAGGTGTTCCACCCTGGGAGATGCTGGTTGTGCTTGGAGAAAAGGCTCCCTGCTCCCATTGGGCCAGGCTGTGCCTGACGAGCCGTGAGTCTCAGCCCCTGCCGCCCCAGGGGACTCTGCCTGGCCTGGGCCACCTTCCCTGTCTCAGCCCACCTCCTGGACAGGTCCGTTCCTGTAGAATTGCTCCATCGAGGCCACCAGGGTTGGTGTTTTGTAGAAGACATGGGCTGACTGTGTCCCTTGCTTGCAGGCGCCAGGTGCCAGGCGTGCCCCCAGGGCTGGCTGTGGGCTGAGGAACAATGCTTCTACCTGTCCACCGACGCTCGGGCCTGGGAGGCCAGCCAGGCTTTCTGCTCAGCCCACCGTGCCACCCTGCCCCTGCTGAGCCACACACAGGTGAGAAGGCCGGGGACAGGGAGGGGCAGTGGGAGGGCCAGTACTGGAAGGGACCTTGGTGACTGAGCCCAGCTGTACATCACAGAAGACTTCCCCAAGATCTGGAGGGATCGCGACGGGCCTAGGTTAGCACCATGCAGGGGCGTGGGCCTAAGTGCTTGTTCTGGTTCCCTAGTGCTCCTCTGACAAGAATATACCGCCAATGGGATGGCCTCAACAAACAGCAGTTTATTCTCTTACTTACAGTTTGGAGGCTTTAAGTCCAAGTTCAAAGTGCCAGACTCTAAGGGCTGGGTGAATGCCCCTCAGCCTTGGGCTTCAGCTCTGCCTCCTGCTCCCGGCCCACTGGAGCTAGAGGCGTTTCTTCACTCAGACAGCTGCTGGCTGCTGAGGCTGAGAAGCCCCAAGGTTGACAAGTAAAAAGGCACAGTCCCCATGTTACCAAACCACACGGCAGGCCATTAACTTAAGTCCATTGTAAGTCCCAAGGTCGGCAGAGCATGGCAGGTTGCTGAGCAACAACACAGCTATGTGCGGGGTCCAAGTGTGCCATAGGCTAGAGACCCTTCCCAAAGCTGCTGCTTATGTACGGGAAGCAGCCACATCCCCAAATAGCCACTCAGCTGCTCCAGTAGGTTCCACCGTGGAGTTGATTACCAATCTCACCACGAGGAATAACTACATCCAGCTGCCCAAGCCACTCAGCCAGGCCCGGCCAAGTTGACACGCATACTTAACCACCACAGGCACCTTAGTCTTCAGAGTGACATCTTTGCTTTTCAACACTTTACAGAGGTCTTTGGCCAGTGCAACATGTCATTTGATTCCTTGACTCAATAAATGGAACTATTATATATTTATTATGTATCTTTCCCTAATTAATTTCCTCATTTGCAAAGCAAGTACAACAAAAACCATTTCATAGGATTCAGTGTTCTGAGGATTAAATAAAATAAATACTGTATGCAGATGGGTTGGCATTTTGACCCAGTAAACCTGTACCTGCTGGTGGTAACTAGGAGCAGCAGCAGTAACGGTGTTCATACTATTAATTCATTTCCTTCCTCCTCTGTTTGCCCCCATAGATAGTGCTGTTAAGCCCTGACACTTTACATTTTTATGCATCTTTTGTGTGTGTGTGTGTGATTTGGGTGACAGTTTAAAGAGCAAATTCACTTTCCATACAGCAGTTCACATACACTTGTCTCATGACATTGACCGTAATTTACCACAATGCAACAGCTCTCCTCCCACTTCCTCCCCCAGTCACCTCTTCCCTGTGTCCTTGCCTCCCATGCACTCCTACCCCCTTGAGCTGTCTCCCTGTGCATACACAGCCCTTCTATTCTCCAATGATTGTTCTCTCTGAGGACTGTATCTACCTAGTGTAAATGTTCACTTTATTTGCCTGTCTTTTACTTGGCTAGAAGCCATAGGAGTGGGTTCAATTCCAGACCTGAAGGGCAGCTAGGGGCCATAGTCTGAGTGGTTTCATCAGGCTCTATCAGACCAGCAAACCTGGACCCTTCCCAGCCCCCCAAATGATTTTGAGTTTTGTTCCACATTGTTCTCCCTCTCTATCCAGGATCCCCTACACAGATCCCCCTCCGAGTGGTTGACAGTAGCTGGGCACCATCTAGTTCTTCTGGTCTCATAGTCGTATAGGCTGAGGATCGCATGGTGTACCAGTTGCTTGGACTAATTGTTTCCGTGAATATTTGGTTTTCTTCATTCTTGTTTTCTCTGGACGAGGACTGTACCACCCAGAGTCTCCTAAATCATTTGCCCTCAAGTTCACTCTGACTCATGGTGACTCTGTATGGGTGTCTGAGTAGCACTGTGGTCCATGGGTTTCCAGGAGCTTTTGTGGAATAGGACCACCAGACCTGTGTTCTGAGGTGCCTCTGAGGTAGCAGCCAAGCATGTAAACTCTTTCTACCAATCAGGAACTCCTTTAAAGGGGCCCCAAACCCATTCAGTGGGTTTCAATTCCAACTCATAGTGACCCTATTGGACAGAGTAGAACTGTCCATATAGGTTTCCAAGGCTGTAAATCTTTTCTTACTATTATTTTTTAATTTTTATTGTGATTTGGGTGAAAGTTTACAGAGCAAATTCATTTTCCACACAGCAGTTCTTACACATTTTGGTTCATGATATCGACTGCAATTCCCCACAATGTAACAGCTCTCTTCCCACTTCCTCCCCATAGTTACTTCTTCCCTGTATCCTTTCCTCCCATGCACTCTGCCCCCTTAGCTGTCTCCCTGTGCAAACACTGCCCTTCTGTTCTCCCATGATTGATCTCTCCAAGTTATTTACCTACGTGATGTAAATGTTCACCCCATATGCTTGTCTGTTGTTTGGCTGGAAGCCACGGGAGTGAGTTCAGTTCCAGACCGGAAGGGCAGCTAGACACCAGTCTCAGGGGTCTCACCAGGCTCAATCAGACCAGCAAACCTGGTCTTTTTTTTTTTTTAGGATTTTGAGTTTTATTTCACACTGTTCTCTCTCTCTGTCCAGGATCTCCTACATAGATTCCCATCCAAGTAGTTGACAGTGGTAGCCGGGCACCATCTACTTCTTGTCTTATGGACATATAGGCGGAGGATCACATGTTATACCAGTCGCTTGGACAAATTGTTTCCATGCATCTTTGGTTTTCTTCATTTCTCTTTGCTCTGGGCAAGGAGAGACCCGTTGTTACATCTAGGTAGCTGCTTGCAAGCTTTTTTTTTTTTTTTTAACTTTTTTTTTTTTTATTATTAGGATTTGGGTGAAGATTTACAGAGTAAATTCACTTTTCATACAGCAGTTCACATATACTTTGTCTCATGTCATTGACCAAAATTTACAATGCAGCAGCTCCCCTCCCACTTCCTCCCCATAGTTACCTTCTCCCAGTGTCCATCCCTTCATACTCTTCTGCACCCTGAGCTATCTCCCTGTTGCTTGCAAGCTTTTAAGACCCCAGTTGCCACTCACCAAACTAGGATGTAGAACGTTTTTGTATAGTATGTTGATGCCAATTGAGCTTGATGTCCCCTGTGATCATGGTCCCGAGTCCACAGATCCAACTACTCATTCCCTCTGGGTAGCTGGCTGTGGCCAAGAAGTGACAACAACCTTGTCCCTTGTCAGCTCTACTACATACCTGGACATTCTTATAGCATATACAAATACACATGTGGAAACATTGTGTGCCAACCCTATACACGGTCATGGGCACACTCCCCACTGCCTAGACATACTTGATCATTCAGCCTGTCTACCCATCTAGCCACCCGTAGATCAATGCCTGCCATCACTGGCAACGCAGTACTCTACATGCGAAAGGGTTCATTTTATGGTCTGTATCTCCCGTGTGTCTATGTCTTCCTCTCTCTCAGTGTGCCACTTTTGGTACATTGCCCTTCCCTTCACCCTGATCAGTATTTGTCTCTACCTATCTAGCAGTATTCCCTCCCACTCCTGGTAACCAGCAGTTTCCTTCCATATATGAACCTTTCCTTGAATTTTTATAATAATGAACTGATAGAATATGCAGTGTTTCACAGATTCTGTTATTCTTCAGGGTTGCATAGTATTCCATTGTGTGTATGTACCATGGTTTGGTTATTCATTCTGCTGCTGATGGGCACCTAGTTTCCATCTTTTTGCCACTGTAAATAATGCTGTGATGAACATAGGTATGCTTATGTCTGTTCGTGTCCTGGCTCTCACTTCTTTAGGATATATACCTAGTATGGATCTTGTTTCATTTTTCTTCAAATGGATATACAGTTTGGCCAGCACCATTTGTTAAAGAGACTATTTCTTCTCCATGTGATGGATTTTGGCCCTTTGTCAAAGCTCAGCTGACCAAAAGTCGATGGATCTCTTTCTGGGTTCTCCACTCCGTGCTACTGGCCTGTGTGTCTGAACTGCAGGGCAAAGAAGGGAGTGCAGTGGGTAGAGTTGGACAGGTTTGGGGGAGGGGGAGTGAGGCATGGGCTGCCCAGGGCCTGGACGAACAGCTGGTCATCCCCTTGAGGTCACAGTAAGGATGGACGCGATCCCACCAGGAGCCCTGGTGGTGTAGTGGTTAAGTACTGAGTTACCAACAGGTCAGTGGTTCAAAACCACCAGTTGCTCTGTGGGAGAAAGATGGGCCATGGTGGTCCGGAAAGGCTGGAAGCCGCCCTGTGAGGCAGCACTACTCTGTCTTATAGGGTAAGAGCCAGAACCTGCTCCATGGCAGTGCGTTTCTTCACGGGGGGTGAGCACTGCTGGTGTGCACCGCCTCCTTTTCCACTCGGCAGTTTTCTATTTCCATGATCTTGGGGAACCACCTTTTCTTTGCACTTTCATTTGTAACATCACTGTAGTTTTCCATCATGCTGGCATCCGGTGATCTGCCTAGGTACTTCCTGATTGCTAAGCATCTGGTATGCGTGGCGGGGGGCTGCTATATTTCCTTTTTCACTTTTATTGTTGTGAAAACATGCACAACAAGACATTCACCAGTGTAATAGCTTCCACATTTACAGCTCTGGGCACTGATACCATTTTTCAAGTTGTGCCACCCTTATTGCTATCCTTTTCCAAAATATTCCACTACCATTAGAATAAACTCAATGCCCCACAAAGGCTTGCTTTTTCCCCCCTCTCTTCTACCCTGGTGACCACTAATAATCTTTGGTATATATGTTGTTGTGGTTGTGTGCCATTGAGTCGGACCCGACTCATAACGACCCCTCCTTGGGTTTCTGAGGAGGTATCACTTATGGAAGTAGATTGCCCAACCTTCCTCCCAAGGAGTGGCTGGTGGGTTTGAACCACCAGCCTTCTGGTTAGCAGTCAAGTGCCTTAGGCACTATGCTACCAGAGCTCCTCCATATCCTCCCTGCATTTGTTATTTTCTGTCTCGTTGAACTCTGCCTTCGATGCTGGGGTGAGATGGTATCTCATAGTTGTTTTGATTTGCATCTCTCTTAACGGCTAATGATCGTGAACCTTTCATGTGTATGTTGGCCACCTGGTGAAGTATCTGTTCATGTCTTCTGCCTATTTTTTTTATTGGATCGTCTGTCTTTTTAAGGTTGAGCTGTTGGGTTTTCTGTAAGTTTTAGAGGTAAGTCCTTTGGCATGTCATTGCCAAATATTTTCCCCCATTTTGTAGGTTCTTTTACTCTTTTGGAGAAGTCTTTTGATGCACATAAGAACTTAATTTTTAGAAGGTCCCAATTACCTAGTTTATCTTCCACGGTTTGTGCGTTTTGGATTATGCTTGATAATCTATTTATGCCATAAATTAGGGCCCCTAGATTGCCCCTATTTTTTCTTTGATGAAATTTATAGTTTTAAGTTTCACATTTAAGTCTTTGATCATCTGTAGTTTTTGTGTGTGGTGTGAGGTATGGATCTGGTTTCATTTTTCTGCAAATGGATATCCAGTTTTGCTAGCACCATTTTTTGAAGAGACTATGTCTTGGACATTTGATGGATTTTGGCCCTTTGTGAAAGATCAGCTGACCTTAGGTCAATGGATCTACTTCTGGGTTCTCAATTCTGTCCACTGGTTTATGTCTGTCGTTGTACCAATATCAGGCTGTTTTGACTACTGTGGCTGTATAGTAGGTTTTGAGATCTGGAAGTGTGAGACCACCTGCTTTTGTTCTTCTTCAGTAGTGCTTTGCTTATCTGAGATCTTTTTTCTTTCCATATAAAGTTGATTGGTTTTTCTTGTCTTTAGAGAATGTTATTGGGATCTGGATTGGGATTGCATTGAATGTATAGATTGCTTTGGGTAGTACTGACATTTTCACAAGTATTCAGTGTTCCTATCCATAAGCATAATACATTCTTCCATTTATGTAGCTCTCTTACAGTTTCTTGAAGTAGCGTTTTGTAGTTTTCTTTGTACAGGTCTTTTCTACTTTTTGTTTATATACGATGTATTTTTTTTTTAAGGTGGTAAACTTTTTATTAAGGTGATAGTTAACATGGTAAATTAGGTTCCCATGTAACAATTTCTACACAGATTATTTAGTGGTATTGGTTACATTTTGCACAATATATTCATCATTCTCATTCATTCTGTTCTGGTTGTATCACTTCCAGTACTCTAGACTCCCTGCCCCCTTACCTTTTCATCTTTGCTTTAGAGTCATTGTTGACCATTTGGGTACTGTGTCTCTTTGGATAAATTCATTTTCTCTTGTGTTTTTGGATTTATTCCCCAAAGTGCAGTCACCCATAGAAGTAGGGGGAGTGGTGTTTTATTTGTTGTTCCTTTCATGTCCACATCCACGTGCATGTGTGTGTATGTATGTGTGTATATGCAGAAATGGCAAGGCCACAAGTTCTGACCTCCTCTAATCCCACAAGAGAAAGACAGGATTACCAGCAGTAACCCAAGGCCTATTACCGCAAGGCCAGACATGCTGCCTCCCTCCAGCCCTTTCACCAACCATTCCTCCCAAAGCACCCACCACCTCTCTCCTGGGTTCGATAATTCGCTGCAGTGACCACACAGAGCTCACAGATTACAGGGTTTATTAGGGAACACCACAGGCTACAATTCAAGTTTAGGAAAAATGCTCAGTCTCTCTCCCAGCCCACCGTCCCTCAG